CTTACCGCCCTATTCCCACACCACTGACAAAACTCAGCGGCTGACTATTGCCTTTACTACCGCACCTAATACTATGCCGCAAATTTATTTTAAGCTGTCGTATGACAATTGTTAGTTTTATTGTTATGACCTACTGAGTAAGTGACAACGGCGAACCAATGTTTATATTCACCCCTATTACGGTTGTCAATATCATGTCAATATTGTCAAAAATAGTGTCGATGCCTCCGAATTGGTATTGCCGTCATCAAAGTCGATAACTGTTGACAGCTGTTGATACTATTTTGGTATTGACGACAACAATATTGATATTCTATTGACGGGTGTCAACATAAAACTTGTCAATACAGTTTTTGGTGACGACATGCGCTCAATTAAATATTCTGCTGTAAAAATTTGGTAAAATAATTCTGAATTATACCTTTTTACACACTTTATTTGTTTAGTTCTTATTATAATTTAGGAAAATGGAAAGAAAAATGAAAATAACAAACAACAATCAATTTGCGCAGCATGTTTTCAGCTTCGGATGATGAATCGTAGCTTGATGACTCTACATTAAAGTCAATATAAAGATTATGTAAGGCAGCACAAACGTTTGCGATTTGCGTTGCTTTTTCCGGCTTATAATGTAGCTGACGAGCTCCGAGTAAGCAGCGAAATCGGTTTTTGAAGACTCCAATGGTTCTCTCTATTATGTTTCTAGTTTTTGCGTGCTTGGTGTTAAAAATGGCTTCAGCGCTTCCTTCTGAAGTTGATCTATAGGGCGTCATTAAATACGGTTCCAGAGGGTAGCCTGCATCGCCTGTAAATGTTTGTTTGGTTTTGGTTAACTTCAATATAAACATATCATGCTTTTTTTTTACCTAATAGCCAAGCGTTGCGCACTCCAGAATCGTACCGCTCACGTAACACCTGTTTTGCAGAACTAATGTTCCATATCAGGGAGTCGTGGGATGAGCCTGCATATCGCGCATCGAAGTACCTTATTTTCATTTTATGATCACAAATCTATAAGTAAAATTTACCAAAACCAATTAAATCAACTGGTGGCAAAAATTGTACTTACAATTATTGCATTTAAGCTGAAAAACCCTTTTCTGTTAAAATACAGATTTTGGTCCAACTTAGTGGGCGCCGAAATTTTAATATGCGTTCCATCCACACAACCAATTACGCCGGGGAACCCTGCCTCCTCGGACATTTCGAATCTTATAAGCAGGGGGCATATTAGCTGCTCCAGAGCTTCAAGTGTTTCAGCCAATATTGCGGACACGGTGGGTTGAGATAAGGCCAAGTTGAAATCATTTCCAACACCAACTTGGTATGAGCCTTGTGCCAAAAACCGTAGCGTAGTTGCCAACTTTATTTCATTAGAAATAATTGTTGGTCGTTTCCCTACTTTCATCGATGATACTATTTTCTCCAGAACGTATTTAAAAGCATCTTTACTTAACCGAAAATGATCAACAAATCTGAAATAAATTACACATAAACATGAAAGGTGGTTGATACAATTTAGCAAACATCTAACAATTCGATTATATTTTCCATTAGTACACACCGCTCTAGGATGTAGAGGAGTCGTTGTTGGTGTACTAATGGGAAACTTAATCATCCACTAATATCTTCACAAGCCTGTAATTTTCACTTATGCACTAATAGAAATTGCAATGAGCAGTTATAGTACTCACTTCGTATCTGGCAAATTGAATATGTCAGATCTTTGGCGCATTTCACTTCTTCTGAGGAGCAAAATCTCCTTCCTCTCCTCATCGATTGAACTTTCATAAAAAAACATCTTTAAACAAAAGTTTTAATCTTTAACAGAAACATATGCACAACAAATTGTAAATAAACAATTGTCAAAAATATAAGGATCGTAGTTTTGCTATTAAATTATCGATAACACGTCAACGTCAATACATTGATGAAGTAAATACCAGAATTGCATTGACGCGACGTTGATATTGATACGACGTGATGTTGATATTGATAAGAAGTGACAATTGAGGTTGACAACCATAATAGGGGTGATTGTGTTTTAGGCGCAGTAATTGTGACAATAGTCATATAATGAATTTTGTCAGTGTTGTGGGAATAGGGCGGTAAGACAGCGTTCAAAGCTATCAACTTTCTA